CCTGCTGAATTCCTGGTCCCTTCTAAATAATGCCTGGAACAGAGAAACTCTCAATAAATGTTGATTGAGGGACCAGCAGGTGATGTGGTTAAGGTGCTGGACTCCCACATGGTCGACTGTGGTTCGAGTGGAACCTGGCAGCTTCCTTTCTCACTTTCCCTATCTCTCTCTCTCTCTCTCTGGTGAGCACATGTGTCCTATAGCAAATTTAAAAATCATAGTAATAATAAAATTAAGGAAATAATTCTTTTTTTTGGGGGGGAGAAGCTATTGCTATAGGGCACGTGCACTCACCAGAAAGACACAGAGAGACAGAGAGACAAAAAAAAAAAAGAAATCACCCCCCAAGGGGGATGGCCATGCCGCAATCCCTTCTCCTCCATTCTCCTCTCAGGATCTTGGGCATGCCCGCAAACGCCACCGGGTCAGGGCTCAAACCGCAGTTGACTGCATGGGAGTCCAGTGACATAGCCATTATGCCAACTGCTGGTCCCAGTAAATAATTCTTTAAGAAAATAAAAATAAATGTTGATGAGGGTGGATCAAGACTGTTGCGAATGCCGTCTTTCTAGCTCGCCTCTCACTCATGGGAGAAATAAGTAAACTGCAAAAAGAAGAATGAGGGCCATCCAGTGGTGTGGTGGTGAAGGCAGCTGGATCTCACACAGCTTGACTGTGCGGTTGGAGTCCCAGACCCTGCGGCTTGAAAAATCACACTGGGAGAAATGAAGAGATCCCAGCGTGTCCTTCCCCAGTGGGGAGTTCTTTCTCACTTTTCCTCCCTGCCTCCCTGGTAAACACATGTGCCCTCTAGCAAACTTTAACATCCTAGTGAGTCCACTCGCTGAAGAGAGACAGAGACAGAAGTGAGAAAGCACCCCCCACCCCGGGGGGATGGCCACACCACAGTCTCTTTTCCTCCATTCTCTTCTTGGGACTTTGGGCATGCACTCACACATGCCCAGCATGTTTTTCAAACCACCTGGTCCAGGACTCAAACCACACAGTTGCCCAAGTGGGATCCAGCTGCCTTAACCACCATGCCACCTGACTGGTCTGGAAAAAAATTTAATAAAATAAGGGACCAGCAGTTAGTGTAATGGCTATGTCGCTGGACTCCCGCATAGTCGACCGCGGTTCGCATCCCGGACTCGGTGGCTTAAAACTCACACCGGGCGCGTGTGCGTGCGTGCCCAAGATCCCGAGAGGAGAATGGAGGAGAAGGGATTGCGGCATGACCATCCCCCCTGGGGGGTGATTTCTCGCTTTCTGTCTCTATGTCTCTGTCTGTCTGGTGAGTGCACGTGCCCTATAGTGAAAACCTCTTTAAAAAAGTTTTTAATAAAATAAAAAATATGTACTGGTTGAGGGACCAGCAGATGGCGTAATGGCTACATCACTGGACTCCCATGTCATTGACCGTAGTTCGAGTCCCAGACCCAGTGGCTTAAATTCACACCAGGCACATGTGCGTGTGTGCCCAAGATCCCGAGAGGAGAATGAAGGAAAAGGGATTGCAGCGTGGCCATCTCCCCTGGGGCATGATTTTTCGCTTTCTGTCTCTCTGTTTCTCTCTGTCTTTCTGGCACGTGCACGTGCCCTATAGCAAAAAAAAAAAAAAAATTCTCCAAAAAAAAAAATAATATATACATACATAGATATACTGGTTGAGTACAGGGAGGTGTCCTGTTAGTCTGGCAAGCCACAGGGTGAGGACTGTGTGTGCCTCTCTCACCACATCCCAGAAGCCCAGCATTGCCCTTCTCACCTGTGCTAAGTAAATTAATAAGGAGCTGAAACCGAAGAGCAGCGGGAGGCCAGGCGTGGAGCCGTGTGTGCTCATACGAGCACATGTAGGAAGGGGGCTGGCTGAAGGGAAATGTAGCAAAACAGGCACTGCGCTCAGAGTTCTGAGCCTGCATCCCATGGCTCAGTGTGGGATCAGGGGCTCACTGACTGAACCCCCTGAGCCTCACTGGGGAAAAGGGATTATCGTGCCTACTTAGAAGGTGAGAGGGTGAAAATGAAAGCGGCTGGTGCAGAGCCTGGCACGTGGTGGGTTCTCAGTGTTCCTCCTCTTCCTGTCCCTCTCTGCCTTCCTGCAGTGCGTCGAGACGGACCGGCCCAGGAAGGTGAGCCGGCTCTGAAGTGGAGGGTGGGAGGCTGCCCTGCGCCTGGCAGCTCAGTCCCTTCCCCACACACGCAGATAGATCCTTGTCCTAGGAGCCGGGTCCTCAGTGATGCCTGTCTCCTTTATGTCAGAATTGGGGGTTCACTGGCGAAGGATGGAGTTCAAAGTACCTTCTCTGCCACCAAAGGCCATGGAGCCCTAGCAAGTCACTACCCCTCTCCGGGCCTCCTCTCCCTGTATAGGGTACAGTAACCGTTGCCCGTGCTCTCCTGGCTGCTCTGACAATTCAGAGAGTGGGAACAAATGCATATGAATAAATGAGTATTCTTCACACGAGACAGGATGGTTCCAGATGAATGTGATGGATGGATGAATGAATATGAGCACTGTTGCCAAGGCCAGATAGGATGTGAACTAAAACAATGAACAGGTTTGGTGCTGGATCCTCCTGATACACAAGTCCAGACAATGCCATTCCGATCTAGGCCTCTGGGAGCCCCAGCCTGTCCCATCCCAGATGCTTCCGCCTGAGCAGTGATGGGGGAAGGACAATGTGTAGAGACCAAGGGGCTGGAGCAAGGCAGTGGGCATACAGAAGGGAATGTAAGAGTCTAGAATGGAAACAGGAAAGGGGGAGCAAAGGAAGAGGGTGGGGCTGGAGGGGGAGACCCGGCACAAGGCAGGCGAGGGGAGAGAGCAGTGGCAGACAGTGGGCACCGGAGGTCACCGTGGACCCGCTGCAGGAACCCCACACGCTCTCAGTTAAGAATCTGTTGGATAACTAAAGGGATAAATGGCTAGAGGAGAAATGGATCTAGATCCCAAAAAAGAGGAGTCAGGCAGCTCAGGGCTAAGACATCCTCTGCCCTTCTGCTTCCTGCTCCTGCCAGATGCCCATCCTCACCAGGAACACGCCATGGGCGTACAAGTGGATCCCCAGCTGGATGCCATTGACAATCTTCTCCCGGGCCCACTTGGGAATCCCAAAATTGGCAATCAGGGCCATGACAGGAACCGCAAAGAACCTGCAGGGGAGGTACTGGGTCAGAGGAGACACTGGCCTGCCCTCCACCCCACCCCGTGGCCCCACCTCCCCTGTCATGCACACACAGAGGCCCCAGACAGGTCCCGAAGTGACGGCCAGCGAGGCCTTCAGAGGCCAGAGGTTGAAAGGGGGCAGGAATCAGACTGGCCTAAGAAATTCTAGGGTGCAAGGATTAGGTTGAATTTGCTTCTACTCCTCCCCAGACACTAGCATCTGATAGGAAATCAATAGTTGTTTGATGAATGAATTAACAAGTGATAATAACGATTGAAGGCGTATTGCACGCCAGGACTGTTTCTAAGCACCTCACATATATAAACTCATTAACTCTCACAGTGATGCTATGAGGCGGGTACGATTTCCATCCCATTAGTAGGTGAGGAAACTGAAGCGAAGAGAAGTTAATTGCCTTGTCTGAGGTCACAGTCCTCAGCTTTAGAGTTGAGACCCGAACCCAGGCAGTCCGATTCCAACTTCACCACTATGTCATGTTGTGTGAAAACAATTACAGGTAGTTTTTTTTTTTTTTTTTTTTTTTTTTTTGGAGAGATTTTCACTATAGGGCGCGTGCGCTTGCCAGACAGACAGAGAGAGACATTAGAGACAGAAAGCGAGAAATCACCCCCCAGGGGGGATGGTCACGTCGCAATCCCTTCTTCTCCATTCTCCTCTCGGGATCTTGGGCACGCACGCACACGCGCCCGGCGTGAGTTTTAAGCCACCGGGTCCGGGACACGAACCGCAGTCGACTACGTGGGAGTCCAGCGACATAGCCATTACGCTAACTGCTGGTTCCCACAGGTAGTTTTTAATCAAACATTCACTGCGTATCGACACTAAGCCCTCTGAGACTGCGCTCCGTGTGCTCCAGATAAACTAGCGCAGAAGTTACTGCGGACAGCCTTGGTTTATGGACAGCCTGAGGCACTCTGTGAAAGTAAGTTTTTTTTTTTTTTTTTGAGAGGTTTTTTTTGTTTTGTTTTGTTTTGTTTTCACTATAGGGCGCGTGCGCTCAGAAAGTAAGTTTTATACTTAGAGAAAGGAATCTTTTCCAGGCCACCAGGTGAGTAAGCGGCACATTCTGGGTGCTAGCTGCCTGCCTTGAAAGCCCACCTTCCTCACTGAAGCGGGACAGAGCTGGGGGAGCCCAAGGAGTTGGGGCCCACCGGGTCTCACCACAGGGTGTAGGCCGCAAAGAAGGGCACGTAAAAAGGCTGCTTCCCAGGGAAGTGGCGGAGGGAGACGAGCACGGCGTAGCAGAACCACACGTAGGCTGCCGCCTGCAGCCCGATGAGCCCGTAGCCGGCCGGCGACTCATATGTGTACAGTACCTGGCCTGGGTCGAAAAACTGAACACACAGGGGAGGCCCATCATAGTCCCGGCTTCCCTCAGAGTCCCCAGACACCCCCCGGCCCCCGGGCACCGAGGGAGTACAGGTACTTGGTCAGGCCAGAGGCAGCGGGAGAGCAAGGGATGAAGACAGCTTACAGAGGTGGCAAGAGCATGGAAAAGCAGGGGCAGGGAGCGGGGCAGCAGTAAGGCACTAGGCCTGCGCGGGACGTCCTGGGCCCCCCAGCATGTCAGGAACACTGCACGTGCCTATGACCCAGGCCAGCTGAGACTGGGGATGGACCATGCCCCCCCAGTCTGCCATCTCTGTCTCTTTCATGGAAGAAATAATTACATACATTTTAAACAAAAAAAGGAGCCAGCAGGTGGCCTGGTGGTTAAGGTGCTGGATTCCCACATGGCTGACCACAGTTCAAATCCAGACCTGCCAGGAGCCTAAGAGGGAGATAGAGATAGGATTACAGTGTGGCCATCCCTCCTGAGGGGTGATTTCTCACTTTCCCTCTCTCCATCTCTCCAGCAAGTGCATATGACCTATGGCAAAAACCTAAGAAAAAGAAAAAATAAAAGAGGGCCTAGCTTGTGGCCTGGTGGTTAGGTGGCTAGATCCCACATGGCCAACTGCGTAGTTTGAGTCCTGGCCCCAGCAGCCTGAAAAACACACGATGTGTGCGTGCCCACATGCCCAACATCCTGACGGGAGGGAGAGATGGAGGAGAAGGGATTGCAGTGTGATCATGCCCCAGGGGGTGCTGTCACTTTCCTTCTGTCTCTTTCTGGCAAGTGCATGTGCCCTCTGGTAAAATTTTTTAAAAAAGAAAAGAAAAGAAAGAGAAAAGGAAGAGAATACATCAGCCATCACGTGCCCAACATAGGGCAAATGCCAACTATGTGTGAGCTTTTCCATTAGCATCGATTCAACAAGTTAGGTCTTTTATTTTTTTTTTGGGGGGGGGTTTGCTATAGAGTGCATGCGCTCAACAGAAAGAGAGACAGAAAGTGCCATGCCACAATCCCTTCTCCATTCTCTTCTTGGGATCTTGGGCATGCACGCCCATGGGTCCCGCATGAGCTTAAGCCACCAGGTCCGGGACTCGAACTGCAGTCTACCACATGGCTATGTCCAGCGACATGGTCATTATGCCAGTGCTGGTCCCCATGGTAGGTCGTCTTATTGCCCCATTTCACAGAGGAGGAAACCTAGGCTAAGAGGGAACTCCTTTGGTCAAAACCACACAGGTAAAACCACACAAAACCTAAGAGGAGCCCCCTAGGGTAGGTAAGAGACTTCTAGTTTTCCAAAGAGGAAACAGGTCAGGAAAGGGGGGTCATCACCCAAGGTCAGCATGGAAACCAGGTCGGTGCGACTCCTGAACTCGTCATCTTGACTTTAAGCATATATGTGACAGACAGTGAGAGACAGGGAGGCGGAAAAAAGCTACTCAAGATGGTGAAGAGAGGAGTAATCACTCAGACAGATGGGAAGGTGGAAAATCACAGAGTGGGAGAGAGAGCCAGGAAAAGCACCCTGGGAAAGGGCTAGCGGGCAGGTCAGAGGGAGGTGAGGGGGCCAGGTCCTGGGGACTCACTTCAGCCTCGTAGATCAGCAGCACCACGTGGGTGAGGGTGTACAGGGTCATGTAGACGGACAGCTTCACGGAGCCTGAGTGGCTGATGGGGCGCGAGCGTTGAGAGGAGACAACGGGTGGGAGCCGTCAGGGAGGAGGAGGCAGCCACCCCCCAGGCCATACCCCCTCCCTGCTCCCCAGCTCAACATCCCCAGCCCCAGCACTCCCTGCCCGGGCACCGTGTCACCGTGAATCCCTTCCCCAGAAGGATG